TGAGCTTAGAAATTATTTATTTTGTATGCCCTTGTAGAAAGTACTTTGATTTTTTCATGAAATGTGTAACACATCTCCGATCCCATGAAGAGTATATATTCTATATCAGCAACAGTTGCTGAGTCTATATTGCCATGTCCATGTCTGTCTGTTTCAATGCGAATTAGTCTCTCAGTTTTAAAGCTATCGTCTCTAAACCTTGTAGTGGAGCGTCTTTCTGTTGCAGGCAGTATTTACATATGTCGAAAACGGTCGGTTTGGACCATTATATCATATAGCTGACATATAGACAAAATCTTATCGAAAATTAAAAACTTTGTTTATCAATATTAATTGACCAATTTATTATTTAAACTAAACTGTTAATATATAAACCAAATATAATTAATATCGTACTCCTATATTATATAGCTCAATAGAAAGAATCGTTCGAACAATTTTTTTTTATGGAAAAGTGTTTTGTTTGCCGATATATTTGCATCAAACTTTTTATATACTGACATATCTGGAAGCTAGTAAGACAAATGTCTACAAAGGCATTAAATGTTCGGCTTACCGAAAATATTCTCACTTTCTCGTTAATTGTGTATAGAATCTTACCGTACTCTGCAATGGTAGCACAAATGACTCGGGCAGTATGTCCAAAGCAGCTGAACAAGGGCTTAACCAAAGCTATATCCAATTCAATATCAGGAGCAGATCCACTTTCTAGTTGCCAAAACTTTAAAGAACGGTCGTCGGAAGTGGTCACTAGCAAACGTGCTGTTAAATTTATGTGAATAGAAAATATAACACCATTATGCGCCTTTAGCCGCAAGCAAAGTCGAAATATTTTGGTATGTGAATTAAAGTTAATTTGAAGAGAACTATGTGGCTGCCAAATCAGTATTTCTCCAAATCCATTGCCGCTTATTATATTAAGCTTGTTGTAGCATTTACCGTTAAAAATTGTGTAGTAAAGCAAAGAATAGTCAGTACAACGTGCCAATTCTAATATACTGCATTCTCCGAATTTCATATTATTCGGGTTATTGTATTGTAAACGCAGAAGGGCGCCATGTGCCATGTGCAATGCGAATTGACCGCTTCTCTCGTCCTCCAAAAATATGGCTGCATTAATCCAGTCTTTTGTCTCACCTTCATAAATTAATATAAAGGTTTCTTTCTGATTAGTATCATATTTAAACAAGGAGAACTCATTTTCAGCGTAAAATAGTAGCAGCCCCGTTTGCTCACATTTGTGACTGAAAGCAAAACCGTGTATTTTTTTATAACGCAATTCCTGCGGCAACCGGATATTGGAATTGCTAGAAAGAAAAAACGCTTGGTTGCCAATAGCTACAAATCATACAAAATATGTTAATAATAATAAAAAGGCATCACATAGAATTAATGCATACCAGTAAATAATGAGTGTTGAGATATATTTAATGCAAGGGCATCCGTAAACAATATATTCTTGGGGATCATGATTGGCTTTTAAGCTTTCGTTTACATTACTGCAATACTTTTACAAACATTATTCACAAGCCCACAAATATTAGTTATTGCATTCTAACATGCGTCAAGTTAGCGACGTGATTTAGCGGAAAATATTTTTGGAAAATGGTTCCGGAGCCGGAATCACTCACCTTTAAATGCATTTAATTATGTTTTCAAGCACATAATACATTTTGATGCTGCTAAGTGTCGCTTTGTCAGACGAGGGGCAGCGCCGGTTCTCTCGCAGAATAACTACATAAAATCTGCACATCACTAAAGAGTTCACTCCAAAACGTACGCAAAGGCCAGGTCGTGCAGATCGAGTTTATTTCCGATAATCGATAACTTACTCAGTTCCCAAGCAATCGATAAGAATCGATATCGTCGTCCTGTTTTTTGAGCAAATTGGGTAAATACACTAACCATACAATGTATAGACATACCAAATGGCGCTTTTTATCGAAACAAGAAAAATCGAAACGAGGCGACCCTAATGGTACCTGCGACATTTTAGTGTGCCTAGACAGAGTAAGACTGCTGAGAGTGGTAGCCGAACGCCGGCCTCAAAAGCCGAACGTTCAGTATGAAGCCGCATCTCGCTCAGCGTACAACGTCGCGGCTGATGATGCGTTTTCTTAATATATGTATGTATGCCATTTTTATATCATTACAGCCCAAAAACATATGTGTTTATGCATGTGCCTCGCTCATTGCTTTGCGCACTTGCGTCTATCTCTTTCTTCCTCCCCGAGATCTACAAACATTCCTATGTTTGTGTTGTGTGGATGTGCGCACAAGTAGATCGCGGCGTTTGTCGCGAGCCAAAGGTTAGTTCTTCAATTGTGTGACTTTTGTGCCTGTAGTAGCAATAGGCACCCACATTTAAATGCTCTATCATGTATTTCTTCGTCTAGTCAGACATGATGAGAAGAATTTGATCAAATTTTATTTAATACACAATTAATTGACCTAAATGAATTATTTTGCCTAAAATGCAAAAATATTTAAGTCGTATTTCTGCAAGGGTAGTTCATCGTCGGTTTGTCGAAGAATTTAAGAAAAGACCAAAAATTGACGCGCACTATTTCAAGTAAGCAGTTCTGGACATTTTTTATATTCCGTCACTTGTTATATATCCATAAAAAAGGTAAATAGTGCCTCTATTGCCACACATTATGACTGTACAATTTTTACTTTCCGTGCACTGCTCGGATTTTCAGATGAGTCGCATAGTTTCTCTGTAAGCCAAATACTGTTCTTTCTGAGCAGGACCTGCAGGAAGTAATTTAAAATATATTTTCTGTGGTGACTGCAGCTGTGAGATTCGGAAAACCAATTTGCAAATTTCTCAAAGGCCTCAGTCCGCGAAATGCATTCATAAATCATCACTTCTCTTATTTGTCTAACGTGTGGACTCTTTTGAAAAATCGTCTGGAAAATACTATATAACAGTTTAATAAGACAAAAAAAATCGTCTTGGGGAGCTTTAAGTTTTAAACGATTATTTATACTTTTGAAGTTTTTATTACACAAAAAATACTCGGAATCTTCACATTTAGCAATATCCTCTTTTAAAAGGCTTTTGCGGGTTTCACAAGTAAACTTTTGTTGTGATTTATGTAAAACAAACCCTGCAAAATACCGCAATGCATTTTCGCTACTTGCACTAATAGCAACAGACGGGAGATCGTCATTATCGCTATTGCTTATACTACATTCGTCGAAATATTCAATGCTCAACTCGTAATAGGACAAATGTTCTTCGTCCTCAACATGAACACTTTGCAGTTCTTCATTGGCCTGTTCTATGACATTTACAAGCATATAATCTTCATCTGGTTGACAGTTACCTGATGAAGCTCTTGCTGTGATGATTTTCATAGACAACATTTTCGAAATTATCGCGTTGAATTGAAAAAGCATTGGGTTACTATTTGTAATACCTCTACTTCTTATTAGATAAAAAAGGTTTTCCAATGCATCTTGATTAAGCCGTGACAAAATTAGAAAGAAAACATTGGAATCTTCCCTCCCAATGTCTTGAGAAAGCTTTAAAACTGAATTTATTGTGAGAAACAACCTATCAATGCAATAGACCGTTTTGGGATAACGACATTTCATGAAATAGTATCTCATTTCAGTAAAATATTTTTCTATTTCATTATTGTTCTGTAGAGCTGATTTAAATGGGTTTTTATCTTTTAATACATTGCTATTTAAACAATCAAAAAGCTTATTAACCCTTTCAATAAATTTGGCTGTCGAGAGTGCAACATCTCGGCAATCAGCGAAATTGCCATTTTGAATTAATGTTTTGATGGCAGAAGCAACTGTATGACTAAAAATCGGAGTAGATTCGAAAGAGTTGGCGTATATATGTTTCCTAGAAAGCTTTGGACATAATCGAGTAGAGCTGTTATCAGTGTCAATTTGAAATAATTTAACTAATATTTGCCATGACACTGTACCATCAGGAGTTTCGAGAAAGTTTCGCATTAAAATATTGCGAAGAGACTTTGTTGCATTTGACGTTATCGGTAGCACCGAGGGTTTACCTAGTTGGTTGCGTGCGATATTATCGGCCACGCCGATATCTTTTCGTCATCTGATCAGAGTATGCGGGGTGAAACGGCGCCCACGGCGTAGCCCAAATTTTTGAAGGGTGGCAACGCCAGACTTGCGACCCACGGCGCCAAAAGCTACGATTGCTATTGGCCGCCCGGTTCGCTCTTAAAGCAAATATGAATAGAGTGGATCGCATGCCCTTAGATATGCCCTTGACCGTCATTTGGGCCATTGACCCAAAAATATGCAGCTGTGCAGATGTGCAGCAACGGTGCCTGCCTCGCCTATGTATGCGTGTGCCGAAATTCGGCACCGATGATTTTGCTGCCCAAATGTAAAGGGAGTTCGACTTTGTCAGCGGTCCACAGCGGACGTACCGTACTTAAATGTGCTTAAAAAAAAGGAATAGAAAAAATCAAAGGGCATACACTTGTTTTTTAACGGGTTTTCTTTATTAGTAAATTGCTTAATCCTTATGTGCTAAGGTATTGCAAAAGAAAAAACCTAAAACTTAAGTGCGACTAGACAAGCAAAAAAATAAAAATTAACGGGTCCGGCAACAAAGGGACCAGCTCCCGCACCAGAGATGCCCTCGAACATATCAAAGGCCAGGAATCGGCTCAGCGGCATACACCAGCCATATCCGCGACGCCGCCAGCCAAGCGTCGGCGCAACCCTGAAGACGGAGGGACGAGCCATCACGGTCCGGACGCCAACAACGAAGAAGCGGCCACAGGCGAGACCACGCCCACATCCTCCGAGTGAGTCCGTTCCATTTTTGCCCATCCTCGTTCGAGCCCTTGGCAGAGAAATGAACGAGACTCCTGACCGTACTCCCTGAAAAAGAACAGATTTTTTTGTCGTTAAATTTAGTTTTTTTGTATTTTTAAATCATGTCCATACATACATAGACACTTACGCCGAGTTTCACTTTAGAGTGCGAACGGTGAGGGAATTTCCAAAGGTGATGCATCTGCGCCTGTAAAAGATAAAAATTTAAAATTAACACTTGCGCGAACTATGCTCACATACTTACCTAATTGGAATTATCCATTTACATCACCCCTTACCTCCCCCAGAGAGCTCTTTAGGTAGGGTAAGGTAGAATTAAGCGATTTAATACAATTTATATCACCTACCTGTTGCACGACCGTTTGTCGTGAGATACCCAGTTTTACGTGGTTGTGTGGGCACATTGTTCCTAAATTGGCGCTACAATTGCCTCTAAATTGCCTCCGTGCGTGTTTTTTTGCGGCGACTAGCAGTATCCTTGTAGAATTTCGTCGCCTGTTCCACTTAGTGCTTTTAAAATAAAAAAAGGGAATTCTAAAAGATAAGAGAAAAAGAAGGACCGTTCACGTGCATAAATATTAATTCATCTGGACGGAGTCCTCATGCAAATCAGAAAGGAATAAAAGAAATATTAGGCCAATAATTATAAGAATGCACAAACCATTATACGCACCTGTGAAGCTAACCAAATATCCACTTGTATGAGATTCGAAATAGCTGCAAAGATAAATGCCATAAGCAATGATTATAATTGTTATACACTTTAAGACAACGCAACCAATTATATACCGTATCTGATGAGAGAAATGTCCGGTTAGATTTTCTTCGTTGGGGAGAGTTGGCATAACAGCCGGCACAGGCTGATGGCCATCTAATGGACAAAATGAGGGAGACGAGTGTAGGTGATCGTCTCATGGCTGGGCGGGCACGCTGGGTCCGGAACCGGGGCCCGATCTGGAAGAGTAAGCTGGATAAATAGTGTTTCTTGTTAATTTATATTGAGTGTCTCACCTTTGTTGTTTACATTTTCATAGTTGTTACAGCTGTTTAATTTGTTCACGAGTTAGAAGTTCCGATTGTTTGACGTTATCGATTTGTGGTTCGTTTTGCATAGTGTTGTGTAAGTCTGTATCCATAAACATGAGAAGTTTTCTTGTAGTGGTTGATGACGGTAAGTCACGGTCGCATGTTGGCGAAACGTTCGCGACGGTTTATCGTAGCCTGGTGGTAGCCGCCATGACAAATTAACAAAATTGTGATAGAATGTGATATTAGGGTAGGTCTTACTAGATGTTTTCTATTTGTTTAGTCCCACTCTGTGCTACCGCTGGGGTGTGCTGGCTGTAGTTAAATAAGCTTCGGAGACAGGTGACCCAGGACGATATAAAGCCGATCCTGCGCCGCACCTGTCACACAGCATACCTTAAGGGTGCCCAGAAGTGCGACAGAAACCAAATAGCCTTCAAGGTAGCTTTCCTTGAATGCCGTTCGTCAGTCAAACTGACGAACTGAGCATTTGACGAATGCTTAAGTGTTGTCCACTGTCCAGATTATGCGTAGATTAGTTAGCCTGTTTTAGGATTTGTCTTCTCTCCCCCAAGTATTTGAAATTAATTAAAAAGAAAAAATTTTATTTTTGTGAATGTTTTTGTGGTCGATGTGTATGAAATTATTATTCTTTATTAGTAAGATTTGTTAGTGGGTGTTTATTTATTTATTAATTTATTAGGAATATTGGTAACGTTTTGTTTAAGGGTAGCAATCCTTGTCGAAGAGAGGGGTACAGTTCTCAGAAGGGATAAGTATGGCTGAGGCACAATTGTCGGATTGGGCTTCTGACACTGATGGGGCGTCGGCTCTGCCAGCGCCGCGCCCGGCTGGGGGACTGGTGCGAACGCCAATGAATTTCCGGGGATTTCCGGAGAGACAGATCCCAAAAAAAGGTCACCTGGTAGACATGGAGAAAGAATTGGCGCAGCAAAATAAACCTACACGGAACCTGGAGTTCCCAAAAGCCCCGAAAGACTCAGTGCTCAAATCGGCGGCAAACGCGGCGATCGCTCAGGCCCACCAAACGTATCGGCATGCTCTGCCATCTGGCATCAGCGAGTCCATCCGCGAGGAGATGCGAGCTGGCTTCATGGAAATGATGAAGGGCATCATTGATGTGCTCAGGCCGCCAGGGAGCCAAACCGCCGAGACTAACACTGCGCCGAAGCCGCCCAGACATGTCGAGCCGGGACCACGAACAGGCGACATCCCGAAAGAACGGGAAGTGTTCCAGCGCGAGGCATTTCCACCACCGGTGCCATCGAAGACACATAGACAAGGCGCACGAGGGGCGGAATATTCGTCCAGCAGCCCAGTTTACGTCGCAGATGCTCAGTCGAGGAACTGGCGTAACCCGAATAACCGCCATTTCCGAGTAGAGGACCGGAGAGCGGATGATTTTCAACCGGAGGAGCCGTACGCCAACATGCCCTCTTGGACAGGTTCCGGGGCTACCAGACGGAACACGATGTGATGCAGGAGCTATTACAACGAGAGCAACAGGCCAGCGAAGGGGTGAATGACTATATCCACCACATGCTTCAACTCGCCGCGCGATTCCAGAAGCCGCTGAGAGACCGCGAGCTGGTGAAGATTATAAAGCGTGGTTTGAAAGAAAGTCTGACGAAATATATATATGCCATGGACGTACTCACCGTGGATGAACTGCGCCAAGAGTGCCTAGAAGTGGAGAGGCACATGGGTCGCAGAAGCCAGACATGGTACCTGCAGCCGTCGTTTTGTCCACAAGGAACGAGGCCCGTAGTCCACGAGGTTGAAGTACCACCACAACGTACAGAAAAGCCGCCGGGAGAACTGGAGGAAGCATTCGTGCGAGGCAGGAACTCATCCCGACCTGTATGCTGGAACTGCAGACAATTCGATCACGTCTTTAGAGACTGCCTGTCCAAGGAGCGGAAAATATTCTGCTATAGGTGTGGAAAGCCGGACACTTTCTGCTCCCAGTGCGAAAACTGTCCGGGAAACCCCAGAGGGAGCGCAGTGATGGCGGGGCAGACGCGTACCTACCAAAGCCAATAATCATTGAAAAAGAGACGGAGAGTTGGAATAAGGATCAGGATAAGGCGTATTATAATAATAATATAAGCAAAGGAGGAACACTTAGGAGCTTACCGTATGAAGAACGTGTTCGGGCATACATGTCGGCCCGAAATAGAATTTTTGGTGAGACAGCTGGAAGGGATGACACTAGCCAGCCGGAGAGTGGTAAAGGCACGTGCGTGCTCCCGCAGACGCAGGATTACCAGATTACCGCAGGCGCCAGGTCGTCGAAGCTGTGAGACGGGAGGATAGTATAGACCCACGCGTATTCGCCGAAGTGGAAGTTGCCGGGGCCAAGATGAAAGGGACACGGGGGCCTCAGTCAGTCTGTTGGGACGAGGATGCCGGGAGTTAGTGGAGGAACTGGGATGGGAAGCGCGGCCATACGAATCGATGGTGAGGACAGCGGCGGGTGCCAATCGCCCAATTTTAGGTCGCGTGGTTCTGCCACGCCAGATATCGTATTTTACATGTGCCCGGGCCTGCGACAGGAACTATACCTGGGGATCGACTTCTGGCGGGCCTTCGAGATTGTACCAGAGCTGCTCGGTCTGACCAGAAAGCCCGGAACACCACCAGAGGCATCTGAGGTAACGGTAACGAACTCAGAGGTGGCATATTACCGGGACGACGACGACTGCGCGGCTGATTCGGAAATGTGGGACCTGGACAACGATCAGAAGAGTCAGTTGGAAAGCGTGAAGCGCAGATTTCTCCAATTTGAGAAGGATGGCCTAGGGAAAACTCACCAGCTGCAGCACCGAATTCAGCTGATCGAGGGAGCAGAACGCGTGAAGGACAGACATCATCCGCTGTCTCCGGCCAAACAGGACCTCGTGTGGGCCGAGGTGGATAAAATGCTAAAGTTGGGCATCATCGAGGAAAGGGACAGCCCCTGGAGCAACCGTCGACCTTAAGTTCGCGTTCTGGCAAATCGAGATGGAGGAGAAGAGCAGGGCGTATAAGGCGTTTACCGTACCAGGGAGGCCGCTGTACCAGTTCCGCCACATGCCATTCGGGCTCTGCAACGCCGCTCAACAACTTTGCAGGCTCATGGACAAGGTAATCCCGGCGAATCTGCGGTCCAACGTGTTCGTATACCTAGACGATTTGCTGATAATATCGGCAGATTTTCCAACGCACCTAAAATACTTGGAACTGGTGGCCGAGTGTCTGAGGAACGCGAACCTCACCATAGGCATGGCGAAGTCAAAATTCTGCTTCCGCAACCTAAACTACTTGGGTTTCATCATAGGCGGCGAGACGCTGCGCATGCATCCGGGAAGAGTAAAAGCGATCCGGAACATCCCGAATCCGCGGACGGTCAAGGAACTACGAAGCTTCTTAGGTACAGCGGGGTGGTATCGACGATTCATAAAGAATTTCGCCGAGATCTCGGTACCGTTCACGGTAATCACCGGTCATGCGAGCATGCAGTGGCTTATGAGTCTCAAAGACTTGAGCGGGAGATTAGCCAGGTGATCCCTAGAACTGCAAGCGTTCCCTTTCTCCATGCAATACCGCAAGGGAGCCGACAACGTCGTCGCAGAGAGGTCGAACTGACTCCAGAGGATCTGTTGGGATTTCAGACCCCGGAGTTCGAGAGCACCGATTATCGAGAGCTGATAAAAGAGGTGATGAGCCAACAAGGGATGTTGCCGGATCTTAGAGTGCAGGACGGACTTCTGTTCAAGAGGACCGTGAACGAGAGCTTGGAGGTTGAGGTCAAGGGCACAAGCTGGAAGCTCTGGGTGGTGGAGTCGCTGACTGCAGGACTCATCCAACAAGCACTCGCGGACGAGACGTCAGCTCATGGAGGCATGAGGAAAACGCTGCATGCGCTGCGCAGGCAACCTACTTGGGTCAGGATCATCGGGATTGGGACGCGTACCTACCAGAGGTGGAAGTGGCGATCCGGAATGCGGTCCACAGCGCTACGGGAGTGACTCCGTTCTTCGCGGTCTTTGGACAGCAGATGTACCTGAATGGTTTCACTTACAAACTGGCCAGGAAGCTGAGATCATTGGCCGATCACAGTATTTCTGACCTTGACGCGAAGGACAGACTGGCTGTAATCCGAAGCCAAGTCAAGGACCACCTGCACACCGCATGCGAGCGAAGTCGCCAACGATACGACCACCGCGCGCGCCAGCTCCATCTGGAACCGGGACAGGAAGTGTGGAGGTGCCACTTTGCACTAAGCAGCTTCGGCAAAGCCTTCAATGCCAAGTTCGCCCGGAAATTCTTGAAGAGCCTAGTCGTCCGAGCCGTGGGCACCAATGCCTACGAGTTAGAAGATCTCCAGGGACGCGTGCTAGGCGTCTTCCACGCAAAAGATATACGAACATAATCGCAATATTCTCACCTCCCTGCCAGCCAATGGCGGCGGCAGCCCCCGTCCTCCCTTTTTTTTTTTTCTTTCGGGTCAGTGCGAAATATAGATTACTTGTCGTGGGTGTGGCCTACGTTGGGCATCGTTATTAGCCGGCTGGGTCAATCCATGAAATGCGCACGCAGATTCCTTGTAATGGTCATTCATGTCATTACAATAATCTGCGTGGTGATGTTGCATTTGACGTTATCGGTAGCACCGAGGGTTTACCTAGTTGGTTGCGTGCGATATTATCGGCCACGCCGATATCTTTTCGTCATATGATCAGAGTATGCGGGGTGAAGCGGCGCCCACGGCGGATCCCAAATTTTTGAAGGGTGGCAACGCCAGACTTGCGACCCACGGCGCCAAAAGCGACGATTGCTATTGGCCGCCCGGTTCGCTCTTAAAGAGAATATGAATAAAGTGGATCGCATGCCCTTGACCCCGCCTATGTATGCGTGTGCCGAAATTCGGCACCGATGATTTTGCTGCCCAAATGTAAAGGGAGTTCGACTTTGTCAGCGGTCCACAGCGGACGTACCGTACTCCCTGAAATAGAACAGATTTTTTCGTCGTTAACAAA